GAATTATCCTTAGGGATTGCCACAATTGAGTAGAATGAGATAACTATTGATCAACTCTCAGACTCCTAAGGTCTGAAACAGAGTTCTTCCTTAGCCTCTGAGGAACTGGTATCTGCAAGGAAATTAGGAGGCCGGGCCCCCTAACTGCCTTCAGAGCACGTTGTGGGAGGTGCAGACCAAAGGTGAGTTTACACATCAGTGACTAAAGTTTCCTGCCACTAAGCATAAGAAGTCACTCATGAGCAGCGTCCCTAAACCACAGCTACAGGATGTGGGCACAAGACCTTGTATAATTGTTGGCCAAGAGCCAATGAGCATTCATCCCTGTGCAAATACTTGGGCTCTTTTTTGTTGTTAACCTTTGAAAACCACAGGCATTAGTCTCTCTCTTTCTTCCCCTTGGCACGAGTCATCTTCTTTTCTCCAACTTGGTCTCTTGTGTGTAAAGAATTTCTGAGGAGCTTTTAAGCCTAAATTTAATACTTTTGCCCTCCCCTCTCCTGCCCCACAAAATGCCAGGCAGAGGTAAAGCCGCCTTACAAAATATCTGCTGGCTCTGTTGGCTTCCGCAGCTTTGTTTGGGCTTTTGGATCAGATAGGAAATCAGACAGCTCTATGAGTGACCTTAGCCTTTAAGAAAATACAAGTAGTTTCTGGAAAGTCCCCTAAACAACGGCGATCTATTGTCTTCTTACCTCAGAATTAACCCAGAAACTATGATACACTGATTTAAGTGACATTCCTTTCCCTGGGAATGGAGATATATGGAAAGAGCAGTGAGCCAGGAATATGAAATTGGAGGCTTTAGAGTTTAATCTCAGTATTGCCAAAAATTCACCATCTGCTTTCTGAGCAATTTCTTTCCAGTTTCTAGGCCTTTGCTTCATGTTCTGTGAAATGAAAGCATTGGATTAGATGGTTTCTATGCTTCTTTAGCCTCAGGGCTCTGTGAATTGGCTTCCTTGTAATGCTTCAGCAAAAGGAGAATGAGAATGGGCCTCAAGGCAAAAGATTCAAAACTCATAAATTGGCTTCTCTTTTCTGCCTTAGAGGATGGCCAAAGGTCAGGCCTCCAAAGAGGTCCAATTGCCCACTGGGAGGGAGGTCAGGCGTGGTGATTCTTGACAGCTCCCCTTCGGGTAAATGTTAGAGAATCCATCAGCCTTGCCTCTGTACCCAAATGTCCCACATCCTAGTATGGAAACTCTGAACCTGCTCCATAAGAATTTTTTTTTAAATGAGAGATGGCAGATGGATCTTAAAGTGTCTAAATCAACAGAAGGAGAAATTTCTAACCATCAGTACTTCTCAAGATGTATCAGAAGACTATAAGCAATCTGTCAATAGAGATGTTCAAAGAGTTTCTGAAAGGAGACCTATTTGGGATTTTTCTAGTGGGATTTCCCGAATGGATAAAGAAGATGGCCGTCCATAACATTTTTATGATGATATGCTCCGCACTTAACGCCTCTTGTGTCTAATCCTATTCTCAATCAAACATATAATGACCCTTTGGGAAATTTTATTGGTATAGTTCAGATGAAAGTCTGAAGGAAAAGCCCAAGTGTACACATAGGTCCCTTAGTTTGTGGTTTGCGGCTGCCTGTGAGCTTATGGACAAGGAACGCAAGTGAGAACACCAAGTGTCAAATGGGAAAATGATGGTCAGTAGATCCATAGTGACCAAGAAATAATTTCCAGAACGAACTGAGTTCACGTCCCTCGGATGTTGTCCCACTTTCTACTGCCATAGTCACATCGCTCTACAGGCAGGTACTCAAAGCTTTTTATTTAAGAAAATAATTTAACCTCATTTTATTGAGTCCTTACAAGATCTTTATAAAGTAGGCAGAAGAAGTATCATTTTCGCCATTTCACAGATGAGGAAATTAAACTTTAGGAAAGTGAAGGCAATTTTCCACGGTCTCACATGACTGATTCAACTCTTTCCAAAGAAAAAAGGGTCTAATTATCTAATCATTAGCAACAATTATTTGGAGAATCAAAAGGTCTCTGGCCTTAAAGGATTATATCAGTCATCTCCCCAGCAATCCCTTTCACAATACTCACTTCATCTAGTCCCTACTTGAACACTTCAAGTGATGGGGGGTTCACTATTTCAAGGAGCAACCCATCCCGTCTTTGGACATTTCTAACTATAAGTTCTTTCTTATCTTAAACTGCCATCCAAATTCCTGAAACCTCTCATCCTCTGGTCATAAGCTTGCTTCCTCGATCCCATTTTTCAGCTTATGGGATGTCCCACAGGACAGTCTTTGGGAAATGTGAAGCTAGTTCTCATGTCATCTCTAAGTTCATTCTTCTCCATACTTACAGCTTTGGTGTTATTAAATGCTTATCTTATTATTACAGACTGGACCTCAGGGCTAAGAGACATTACCCTCCTCTCTCTCATCTTTTCTGATTTACTTCCATTGATGATGCTACATTGTATCCTTTAGAAGGTCATTTGGGAATAGTCTGGCTTATGTTACGAGGGGGACAAATGTGCAGAAAGAAGTCAATTGTCAGGCTGATCCTTAAATGGAATGTGCTGGACATTTCAGAGGCTTCTGCCAACAAATGCCACTACCTTGAGGCAAATGGGGATTTTTGGGCAGCAGTGTTATAATAATTTGCCAATTATGCCTGCTTCAGAACCACTGCCAAAATAATCCAACGACTTTTCATTCCACTACTGTTGACAGGACAGCTAAGGATTTCAACATTTCCTTTTACAGTCTGAATAGAAGTTCCCTGCCTTGGGGACTGTAACAATATTTGCCATTGCGGGGGGCATAAAGTGGGTGCTGAGAAAGATAAAGAGAGGGAGGGAGGTAAATAGTAATGGAAGTAAACAAAGACAAAGATAAAATAAAATAAGGGTTAATCAAGGCTTGTGTTTTGAATGCCTGCATCAAATTGACGTTTGTGAATGTATCAGAAGACAAATCTTTGAAATTGAAGAAGTAAGGTTTTAGAAGAAAAACTTTAAAAATAGACTCCCCACAAGCCAAAAAAAGAGGAATTTTTCACTTGAATACTAACCAAGGTGTCTCAACTTTGGGTCTTGGAACAAGCAAAAATCTGATTATAATAATGTGTATGGTGTCCAACATTCAAAACTTCTTTTCAAAATAAATTGAAAATAAATGAAATTGAAAAAGAAAAGAAACTTGAAGAGATGAGATAATCTCCTGAGTTATTCAAAATTAGACATAAGTCAGGGAGAAACAAAGAGGAAATATGAGCAAAAAGAGCAATGGAAACAGAATGAGTTAGGACAGTGTTTTTGAAAACATGCTCCTCAAAACCCTCTGGGATCCACAGACATTCCACAGGGGGCACCTCTAAGACCCAAAAAAGAGGAGGCCAGTGGCATTCCCATCTCCACTTTAATCATAGTGGAGCTACTTATATCTATTTACATATCGGGCATCAGAAACAGATTTCATTAGAAGGAGAGGGTCTGCTGTTGGGAAAAAAAAAAATGTTTGAACAAAAAATTGCAAAAGGGAATGAGCCATTGAAAGTTCTTGAGCAGGGAGTGATATGATCAAATTGTGCTATAGGAGTTTGGCAACCAAGTGTGGGATGGATTAGAACAGGGTCAGCCTTGGAGCAGGGATCCCAATTAAAAGGCTGTAGCAATAACCCAGGTGAACAGAATTAAAAATTTGATCTAGGGGCCAGCCCGGTGGCACAAGCGGTTAGGTGTGTGCGCTCCGCTGCGGCCGCCCTGGGTTCCCCGGTTTGGATCCCGGGAGCACATCGATGCACCACTTGTCAAGCCATGCTGTGGCAGCGTCCCATATAAAGTGGAGGAAGATGGGCACGAATGTTAGCCCAGGGCCAGTCTTCCTCAGCAAAATGAGGAGGATTGGCAGATGTTAGCTCAGGGCTGATCTTCCTCACAAAAAAAAAAAAAAAATTGATCTAATAATGTACCTGTGAGAATGGAAAGGAGAAAGAGTATATGAATAATTTGGAAAGAAGAATGAACTTTAAGTTTGACATCTGGGCATTGGGATAGAATGCTAAGCCACATACAGATGTGGTACTGCTATGGTGCAAAGGTTTGTGTCCCCCCAGAATTCATATGTTGAAATCCTAAAGCTCAATGTGATGGTATTAAGAGGTGGGGCATTTCGGAGATGATTATGACATGATGATTATGATTATGAGCCCTCAAGAAAGAAATTAAAGCCCTTATAAAAGAAGCACAAGAGAACTCCCTTGCCCCTTTACCACGTAAGGATATAACAAGAAGTCTGCAACGCGGAAGAGTGCCCCCACCTGACCATGCTAGCATCCTGATCTCAGAATTCCAGCCTCCAGAAACGTGAGAAATAAATTTCTGTTGTTTGTAAGCCACCCAGTCTGTGGTATTTTGTTATAGCAGCCCAAATAGACTAAGAGAGATACTATATGGAATGTATTTGGCAAGGAATTTAAACAAATCAAAACTGATGGATTTCAAGGATGATGACTGGGACCATAAAAATGCCACAGAGAAATCTAGGATTTTTAAGATGCCAAATGCGAGTGGCCATTGGAACACTAACATAGATGATCAGCAGACAGAAATGCAAAATTGAATCTTGAAGATATGTCAGAGATGGGAAGACAGATTTGGAAGTTATTCTCATAGGATAGCTAAAATAATACAGACAACGATACTCCAATGAGAGAGAAGATCAGGATCAGAGGGCTGAATATTAAGACTTAGAAAATGTCTGCATTTAGAAGACAGAGGAACAATAACCCAGAAAGTCTGCCCCGAGTGTCTGATCAAGTAGTCATTTGCTAACACTATTTGATGGCTTAGCTGAATTTATTTTCCGGTTTTAGGAAATTTGATTATTCTTATATGAGGTCTGAAGTGTGCATCTATTAGTCTAACCAAGCTTTTAGATTTCCTAAGACACTAAATATTCAAATCATATAATACTATTTAAAAGTAATTAGCTGTTTCAGTTCAAAAATATGGTGGGCTGAAACAGAATCTTCAATGATATATCTATGGATGATCTACTTATACACCAAAGAGTCTCAAAAACCAATACTCCCACGGGCGAGGGAATAGCCAAGTTTGTTGCGGTTTCCAATGAATGACATCAGGCCCGTGTACGTCTCAATCAAAATGGGTTCAGTTAACACCGTCAGTCCCTTTCCTCTTCCAGATCCAGTGGAATTCTTGTGGGCATTCTGGATAGCTGGAACTAGCTTAGACGTGAATCCACACAACTGAAGAGGAAAAGAAGCACAGAGTTAGTGAACACAGAGTTGGGCCAGAGACACCCCTCCCCAGCCAGTCTTCACAGAAGTTGACCACTTTCCTGGGGCTGCCATTATTCTTACTTCTTAAACAGAAATCCTTTCTCAGAATTGTTAACGTTGCTTCTGTTAGCCTTTTAATAAATTAATCAGTTAATAAATTATGTACATAATAAAATCATCTGCCTCATCTTGTTTATTTTTCATTTTCATAATTTGTACAACATTAAGAAGTCAGTTTAACAAATATTTGCTGACAGTTTATTATGAATCAGACACCTCTTGGGCGCTGCTGAAGATTTAAAGACAAGTAAGATATAGTCTCTGCCCTCAAAGAAGTGACACTATAATAATGTAAGAAATAAACTTGTAATGATTATACAAAGTTCATGAAAATAAACAGCAAAAAGAGGCACAAGATGCTAAAGGAATACAAAAGGGGAGAAATTATACATGGCTAGAGGATCAGGAATGACTTCAAAAGGAGACTCTTGAGATAATCCTTTAAGGGTTAATAGGGTTTCAACAGGTCAAATGGGGTAAGGGAGGGCCTAGTTGACAACTGCTGTTTTTTTCCAACCCAGCATCTTTTTCACCATTTGAGATTCTTCTTCCAATGAGAGTACCTCGATTTTCCTTTGGAGAACCACCCTCTTCCACTTGGTCCAAATAGTTTAAGTGGAGCTGACTTTAGCACATGACTCAGCCTAATCAATCAGAGGAATCCATTCCTCCCCTCACAGAGATTGGTTCAGGTATGGGCACGTGACCAATGCGGTTGTGAAACTGATAGAACACAAGCCTGGAGGTATTCGTGGTCATTTTTGCCACACATAGTGACAACCTGATTGAGAACAAAGCCAACAAAGGTGAAAGAACTAAGACATGGAGAGAGATGAATTCTTGACAAAGTCATTTGAATTACTAGATCAGCCCTACCCAGAACTTTTAAGTTAAATGAGTGAAAAAAATTCCTTCTTTTGGTCAAGCTAAGTTGAATTGGAATAAGAGGAGGGCAATTTAGGGAGCATTCCAAACAGAGATATAAGAAAATGAATTAGGAAAGCTCACATCTTTGTGTTTCCAATAAGCTCTTTTATATCCATTACCTCGTTCTAGTATAAACCTATCAGGTAGGTAAAAGAAAGTATCATCATTTCCATGTTAGAAACCAAGGCTCATAGAAGGTAAATGACTTAGTCACTCCAACTTCTGAATCATGGTCAAAAAGAACATTAGGAGTAGGGCCTACTCCCAGTGAGATTCAAATCTGTTTCCTAGGCAACTAGCTCACTTGTCTAAATTAAAACTCTTAGAGTATATTCCTAAATCAATCCAAATTATTAAGCATACTATGTAAAGTGACCATTGCGCTTACCACTTCTTCATGAAGAGGCCAATCTTTGCTTGAAAGGATTAACACAAGAGTGATAATTCAATGAAGAAGGAGAAGCTTGTAGTCTTTTACCATAATCCAATTTTCCACATAGGTTTTATCCTAGACTCTTAATTTTATACCAAATTGCCCATGGGCAAACCACTTCTCCATTTTAGGCTTAGTTTCCTTATTAGTAAGCAAGAAATCTAAAATTTTGATGTATCTATCATTACTAGTTGACCTAAACCATAAGCAAAAAAAAAAAAAAAAAATCCATGCAAATGAAACTTCTACAATTTACTAGCTGCATGACATTGTAAATTCACTTCCCGTTTTTAAGCCTCAGTTTGCTCTTTT